CGGAGAGCTCCAGGAAGCCCTTCCGCACGGCTGGAGGGAAAGCTAAGCTTCAGGTTTCGTATGTTGGTTCTCAGGTCTAAGGTCTGAGGTTTGAGGTGAAAGGGTCTAGGGTTTGGGTCTTAGGTTTAAGTTGCTACGGTACTTGTTGTGCGATTGCTTGTATTCTTATTGCTGGAGCTTTGTTCCACTTGCTCAAGCCTTGCTGCTTAAGGGCTTGCAGTTTCCGGATGCAAAGCTTGTTCCCGACAGATGTTTTCCATTGTGGCTGCTGGCTTGATGCAAGCTAGCAATGTTTGCCACACGCTTTCCCCATTCTGGCAGCTCACAAATCCAGACTCAATTTACGGCCCGCTTCAATTGAGTTGGACAAGATACTGAGTTCGAACTGACTCGGATTCCGCCGTCACCCATTGTCTCCAGCAAGCCCAATGAGCACTCACGAGCTTACCGGAGGTTTGGCGGCACGCGTTGACGTCAGTTACAGAAACTTGGCCTCCCCAGCACAGAAGCACGCACTGCAGTCTCCACCCCACACCAGCTGTATGACATTAGATTGTACACTCTCCTCTCCAATATGAGGCAGTATGAAGCTTTCTATGTTAGTCTAGGTTGTGATATGCTTACACTTGAAAAGCTCACCATTTGGGGAATTTACGCCGTTCATGCTTGGAGAAGACGATGCTCCAGACCTACCAACTCAAACATCTTCAAGCAACATGCAATCGGCTGAAAACTCCGGAAATTCGAAGGATATCCACTCGGATCTGCCTTAATCTTGGCCCATCTTAACCCTAGCAACGCCCAAGCACGCAATCAAACATTCTACCAATATCAACCAGCTAACTTTAAACCCTAACCTTAGCCCCGAGAGAGCCTCTGCGGATACTTGCACGGCTCCACCCTGGAGCAGCTCTTGCAGCACCACCTCGGAAGATGGGATCCATGAGGTTGAGTGGTTGAAAGCCAATGAATACCCCTAACTATCACCCTTTATGTCCTAACTATTACCAATATTAGCGTGCTCAATTGACAGGACTGAGGTGCAATCGGACAAATGCTGTACATCTACACTTTGGTGGCGCTGGACTATGAGTATTCGAAAGAAACACAGAAATTGTTGCGAAGACTGACTGTCGAACGCGGCAGAAACAAAGTAGCAATTTCAATCACGCTAAGCTTGGCCGCAGTATCCATGGATACCACTAGCAAGTCGAGTCTCCCTTTTTTCTCTCTGCCGGCTGCAAGGCTGTGCGCAGCTGCAATGCAAAAGGAATGAGTTCATCTCTTCCCGTAATTCTGCGCCGCCCAACCCACCAAAAAGTATGTACCTTTCCCATTAGACAACGATACTTTAGGAGGACCCCGCACCCTGCAATAGTGGTACAACAGGAAAATAAGAGGACCCCAATATAATCCTTATTCTCCATTATAGTCACTATTACTGGGTGGGGGTCCACCTAAATGATACTGCTGGAACATTGATTATTCTGGGGTGGGGAGGTTCCAACCAGAAGCCACCTCCACGCCGAAGGGGTTGCCACCCGAGCTCTCCTGGCTGCACTGAATGGAAACTGGGATTATATAGAGGTTATATAGGGGTTGTATTGGGGTTACATTAGGGATATATTGGGGTTATTGTTGTCATCAATAGGATGTCGGGTTTAGGGTTGAACAATTGTCATCCTCATCACGCTCTGTACAAAACGAATGATTCAATTGGCTTTTGCATGCTCGGGATGGTTTCTGAAGAGCTATTCAAGGGCTTGACACTGGCACGCCCTGGAATTGTAGAACACAAAAATCAGAAATGAGACATCTTGATGTTTCCTGCCGCTTCGACGAAACCGGAACATGGTAATCATGCTGGCAAGTGAGGCAGCTCCAGTTGACTTTGGTGTATGATGTTCAAGTAGCAGGAATCGTGCCATTCCACGTGGCTCTTGGATCCGCCTTCTGACTACGTCCTTACGGAAAACCTTTTTTCCCCTCAAAGAAAATTCTGTGCTTCTGAGATTGACCCAGACGAGGAGCAAAGACGTACTGGAGCAAGTCAGGCGCCACACCAGCACTTGCTTTCGTGATGTGCATAACGTACCTTTCGGTCATGTCCTTAGAGCGGACTCACTGCTTTCTCGAAAAGAGTGAACGCGTACCTGTTAAAGTACCAAGCTAGCAGTTGCTCTACACTTTTCTGTCATGCCTACTAACACACCACGACTCTGGAAGTCGGAGAGTGCAACTAAGGTTTGAGCGCGAGAGAGATTGCCTGTCTCCACTTCGCCATTCAAACTCCGCGAGTTCAGAAACAAGGCCTGCAGCTTTACAGGCCAACGTACATACAGTGGCACATACCCACTCGCGCACTCTGTATGAAGATACTTGACTGGTCAACGAGGCACGGCCGATTCGCTATTTTGATGCAGCACGCGCAAAAGTCTCGAGCCAAACGTCTCGAGTCTGGAGTCTGGAGAGGCCCTGAGGTGCCAAATGCCTCAAAGCACAAGACTAAACGATGGCAGGCATATGAGCCATAGTCTGAACTCCTAGTATTCTGAATAACCCCTAGAATTGACATCTCTATAGTCTCCGGTCTCCTATATAAATACCCTTTCAGGAGCCAAGACTATAGCTCATATTCTCAACTCACCGCAAGGATGATCCGCAGGTAAGGGCGCAAAGAACTGCTCCACCTGCTCCTCGGTCACCTCTGATAGTGTTGCCGGCTGCCATTTAGGGTTCTGGTCCTTGTCTACGAGCACAGCACGGATGCCCTCACAGAAGTCGCTGAAGGGTGCTGGCCGCATAAACCACTGGGACAGCCGATATTCCGCAATGAAGGCATCCCTCAAGGACACATCTCCCTGGTGCCGGCGCAAGGCCTCCAGGGAGACCTTCACAGACAGGGGGCTTTTGGACTCCAACGTCTTCAGGGCCTTAGAAGACCAGCTGGAGGAGTGGCCTTGCAGCCGCGAAACGATCTCCTCGGCTTTGCTGGACAAATCCCCAAAGCAGTCTTTTATCGCAGCGGCGTTGGCCTCCAAATGCGCCTTCTCCGAGTCTGGCGTGGCCCCTCCGGCCACAGCGTGGATAACTTTCGAGACCTCCTCCACGCTTCCTGCTTTTTCAGCCAGGGCCTGAAGCTGCTCCCCTAGCAGGGGCAGCTTCTCCGAGGGGCAGAAATGTGTGGCGAGCCCAGCGTAGATGCAGTCTGCGGGACCCAGGCGTTCGCCTGTGAGACCCAAGTACATTCCAACCTGGGGGCCTGAGCGCAAGCGGCTCAGAGCCCACGTTGCACCAACGTCTGGGAAGAGGCCGATGCCTGTTTCAGGCATGGCAAAGAGGGTCTTCTCTGTAGCAATCCGGATTGGACTGTGCAAAGAAAGGCCCACGCCTCCACCCATCACTATACCATCCCAAAGCGATACCTGAACGACGCCATCTCGCTCCAGCAGGGTTGCTATCTGATAATCCAGCTCGTACTCTTCAGAGAAGAAGTCAGCAGGATACCTTGTGCCATCCAGGACTCCCTGCCTCACTTCGGCAACATCACCGCCAGCACACAGAGCTCGGCCTTCGCCGGCCAACAGGACACATCGAACTCCGGCTGGCTTCAGCTCCGCATACTTCTGCTTCAGATCCTTGATCATTGGCAGGGACAAGGAGTTCAGCTTCTTTGGCCGCTGCAGCGTCAGCTTGGAGATATGCCCTGGCCCATGCTGCAGGCTGACCAGCGGCCCCTCCTCACTCGCGGCAGAAAATGTCCGCAGCACGAGGCCGCGCTTGTCTTTCCAGGAGTTGCCCAGCTTTAGTCTTGGCAGGGCACGTAACATAGTAACCTGCAAATAATCTCCTTTGCTTGTGAAAGGGAGCTTCAAAGAGAGCAGTATCTTTGAGCCCATCGAATGAAGTGGCAAGCATTCTGCTTCTCGTGGGCAACTTGTTGCATTGCCAACCCTGGCAGCGCCTGTGACTGCAAAACGGGCTCCCTCGTCGCAACACACAGGATCACCTCGGTTGAGCTACTGGCAGCAACAGGTGAAGCGCTGAGCAATGGCCATTACAGCTACTGCTAATATGCGATGACTATGCTGAAATACGCCATACCCCGTTCACAATACAGTGCGTCACGAGACAGTGGGGCGCGTGTTCACCCCTGTAGAACGTCAGAGATGCTTGTTGTCTTTCAATTCAATTCCAGCGCGACGTACCAGAAGCTTGCTCTGCTTGACAACTGACTGAAGCAAACTTCATCAAGACACTGCAAAGCTGCTCATTGCTCGTCCCACTTCCAGAACATTCCACTGCTTCAAAGAGATGATCTCATGAGGTAACAAAAACCGCGGCCTTAACCAAAATCTAGGAGGAGCTGAGGATACGCCTATGGCAGGCCGGTCCTGATGATCTCATGGGCCAAGCCAAGTTGCCGGCTTCTTGCCATGCTCGCGGCGATCAATGCACAGATTCATGATCCCCTCCACCTCGGTCAGGCTGGCTGTCAAGTTTGCACACCGAGCTAATCCATGGCAGGGCTTGACTGTAGTTAGAGGTTTCAGACTTCCAAGTCTACACCTGAGCTGACGCTGCGACAGCAAAGGCTCCAGCCAGATTGGCGTCGTAGTCCTTTGTTGCAACAACCGTGGCTCTGGACTCTCATTTCAATCAAAGCTTCCTGTAACGGCCTGCAATGGTCCACCGTTTTCCTTTTTGAGTTTTAGGTTCCTCTTACTTGACAAACCATCACATGGCTGATCATTACTGCCAAGATGCCAAGGTGGCACCATAGAACGACGTCGACCGCCGGAGATGAAGCCTGAATTCGCTTTGCGTGGTGCAACTTGTGACTCAATGCGATTGTTGGTTGCTGTCCGAGTCGCTACCTCATGTTATTGCTGCTATCAGTCTACCATTTGTTGATTCCAGGGATGACGGAGCCCTGCACGTGTATGACTACGTTCTCTCGTTTGATAGAAACACATCAGTAGCTTCCCTTGACTCAGACGTCAACGACTTTGTGGGCCAGACAGCAGGATGACCGTACCCTCGCTCTTCGTGGAGTGCGTGGTAAATGCGTCCACCAGCATCTTGCACAAGGTGACCACCTCAGAGCAAGAAGAATTCTCAAGACAGAGAACTGGAGCTTCTTCAAAGTCTCAAAATATGGGCTCTTTTCTGGGGACCTGTTCTTGCTTTGGAGGAAGAAGATGAGGTGCTCTGTTTTCAGACATACCGCTGGAAACGCTGGGACGAAGGCCCCAGCAGCTTGAGAAAGCAGAGGTCATTTGGTTCGAAGCACAGTAGGGGTTTGAGGTTTTACAGGTCATATAAGGGTTACATAGGGATGATGGCAAAGAAAATGGAAGCTACTATAGAAAGAAGAACCCCGGCGAGTCCAAATGCGACAATTCAGGGAGCTGGAGGTTTGGGCTTCGACGATGCAAGGAGGTCTTGCACAAAACTGTGTCTTAACAAGCGTGATTACTTCATCTCAGGAAGTGTGGAGACCGTATTGCCATGCTGCCTGCCAATGGCACGGAAAAGAACCTAGAGCTCTGAGGCTCCAAATGATGATCACCAACAATGCAACAAGTGCATTGAACCTCATTTCGGGAAGTTCGTCTATGTGTTGTGCATACTCTTGGTGCGCAGGTTCTTGTCAAAATGCCGTTTGGCGAAAATGCTGAGGCCTGATGTACCCAAATGTTGAGTATTGACCGGCTCCGTGCTGGCAAGCAGCAGCACCCTGAAGCCAAACAACACATTGAATCTGAAACCCTGAACCCAAAACCTGACCCACTATATCCTGAGCCCCGAACCGCTAAAACCCATGTATCCCTGCATGATTCCTATACAATCCGTATACAATCGTACAAAAGCAACAGAATCCCGACATGTCCCTATGTATCCCTGAGACCCTGAAATGCCCTGAAAGGCATGAAATCCCCTGGGATCGTTCCAAGCACCTTTGGCGTCCGTGTCTTTGCATGCAGCGCATCCCTCTCGACCATTGCGTTGACCACCTGAATAGCATTGTTTTGCGGGTGAAATTGGGTCTGGGGACATGTAGGTGTGTAGGGATGTGTGGGGGGGATATGTCGGGGCACATGGGGATGTATAAGGCTACATAGGGTTCAGGGTGTCCTTCCGTGGTTGAGCCAAGTACGATTCGATGATTCCAAAAACGCTATATAGCCGAAGGGAGGGTATACACTCTCACTTCCTACTGAGGACCGGAGTATCCCTGTTTAAGCACTGCACAACTGCGCTCGGGGATCATGGTACAGATTCTCTGGCAGAGCTACAAGAAGAACCGTGATTAACGGAGAGTGGGATCGTTGGCTGGCTCCCAAATCCTGTTAAGGCTGAGGTCCGAAACCTACTAGGAGAGTCTTCTGATCGCAGCTCAGGAGCAGTGGAAGCACACAGACAAAAGCTTCAGAAGGCCGAATTGTGTGCGTGAGCATCGGGATGGCTTCCCCGCTGAGTTTGAAGCCCAAAGCCAAAGCATTATCTTTCCAGTGGGCATTTGGCCCTGCTTTGTGCCGGCAAGGTCTTCCGAGAACGGCACAGGCAGCACTTCTTCGCGCTCAACATCACCGAACTTATTCGCTATGTTGAATTGCACAGAGCCCAGTGTACAATTTGAAGTCGGGCACTTGGCTTATCAGGTTTTGTCAATAAACGGCAGATCTCTCCATGAAATCCTCATACAAATTTTGAATTGGTCGTGATTTTCTGGATGGCAAAAACCCCAGCAAGACACTGCTCTCGAAAAGAGGCAATCAGTTCCTTGATTAAGAAGATGTTCGTGTCTCCTCCGTCTTGAAATCTTGATGTCCCCATATCAAGAACGCCTTGCCCACAGTTTCATTTCAACTTGGTATGTAGTAGTATCCATTCCGCGCTTAATCTTCTTTTCCGCTTGATTCACCCATTGTAGAATTGTACAACTAGTCCAACCTGACCGAAACATGACCGGCACGTACCGGCACCAAGTGTTACTTGCCCTAAGTGTCCAAGGACCCAATTAATAGGGCTTTGAGGGCCCAACCACCATTAATATTATAGTTTTTGGGTCCCTAAAACCCTATTAATCCCCATTATTAAGGTCCTTGGACCCTTAGACTTGGATTCCCAAGGCAAGCCAGGCAGCATTCGGCCCGAAGTAGAGCCCTGGGAAGACCAGGCGCAGGACGGGAATCCATACCTTCATCACTACATTATAATAGGGATTATATAGGGTTGATACAGGGATAATGGAAAAGAAAATGGAAACTACTACAGTATAATAGGGGTCATATAGGGGTTATATGGGTAGTTCCCAAGATTAAGGTGCCATTTTGGTACCCCTGAATATTAGGTGCCGTAATATAATCTATAATCAAGAGGGTTGCATAGTTTTGCGAACAACCCACATGCTTTGAAGGGATTAGCCGTGACGCGGAGGCGTCCTCTTTCCCTAAATACCACAGCTGCAGTACAGCAAACCTCCAAGAACCTCGCGGATAACCCTGGGCTCGAATGAGCTGGGCCATTACCGAACTGCGAAGCATTCAAACTTTGTGTTGAGCATTAACGGTGACCGGAAAGTAGTAACGCGCTCTAGGTTGATCGAGCATGAGCTACCTAGGTACTAGGCCCACTAGTCAGTGGATAAATGGTGGCTGTCGAAGCACCAGTAGTTCTCGTGTGGCTCCAGCTGACAGCAGCATGCGGCGGATGATCTCGCGATCACTCACCTAAGAGCGTCATGAAATTCTGTGGACTGAGGGGAGAGGCCCCTTGCTTATGTGTGGAGTTCTCGAACTCCTCCGGACTTTGAAAGCCCAAGCAAATGATTGGGTACCCTGTCCGATAACAAAAGTTCTGGCCAGGGCTGAAAATGTATTCAACTGGGGTCAGTGTCTTCGAGTTTAAGAACGGCTCGAGCTCTAATTCTGTGGTACGAATATGCAACTGCTCTGAGCGTTGTCTTTGGATCATCTCTGTGCGTCAGGAACCGGCACGAAAGGTAATTAGAATAGAAGACACGTCATCATCGTAGTCCGGACGATAAACGAGGCCCTGATCCCTATAGACATGATCCCTATAGACATAATGAACGCCCGATCCTGAACCTCAATAAACCCCGCGTCCAAATGTTCAAGGCCAGCAGCATGCTCTCCTTTGTGGTTCCAGGCCCTTGGCGCAAAACATCAATTGAATCAACCTTGCCCTTTGGTAAAATGGATTGAAGGAATAGGTTTAGGGTTTAGGGTTTAGGATGTAGGGCTCGCAGTTTAGGCTCAAGGCTTGGGCTTGGAGAACGAAGGAATTGGTAATGGAGGGTTTTTTTGGGGGGGAGCGATCTCGAAGTTGTTGTGGAGGTCATCTCAGGATTATCATAGGGATCCTTCCCTAGTACCAAACAGGCAAAGCTCTCCAATTCCAGACGGAGACTCTGATCGTCGTACGGGGCTAAATCAGATCTTATCGGAGTCGGAGACACTAGAAATGTTGTTTCTTGGAGCGTGGGGTTGAGGGAAGGCGTTTTGGGACTATTCCAAAAACCGGGATCCCTTCTCGGGGCGAAGACGTGGCCCTCAGACTTTCAGCGATGTAGCATGGTGCCACCAATGCTTCATGCATTTAAGCTTTGGCTTTACTAGTTTAATCAAGAACTTGGGGCCCTCGGTGCTGCCAGGCTTCGGGTCACTGCGGGCGCTCTTCAACATCTCTGCAAACACCTTTCCACTTTCCATAGGCAGTAAAAGAACAATGAGAAGTGAGAGAAGCAGCACCCAACAACTTCGAAGCATAAAGTGCATAAAGATGACAACAGCAGTGGTGATAGCAAGAGTACTTCTGACAGTCTGACTGGGGAAGCACTCATAATGACCGCGCGCAAGGCAGCAATGGTACCGTGGCCGCAATAACAGTTGCAAAGTCCTGCGCGTCATATATATATATATGGGTAGAGGGGTATCCCCCCCCCTGCATTTCGTGCACTTTCCTTTATAACAGATGTACCACCTATATCCTAGTATATAATATGCGTTACACACATGATGTTATTCGGCATGTATTCCATTTTGTAATATGTGTTGCAAGTGTGTTGTGTGTTTCGAAACATGGGGGTTGTTTCGAAACACGTTAGGTAAACCATTAAACCAATAAACCATTAAACCATTAAACCATTAAACCAATAAACCATTAAACCATTAAACCATGAAAAGAATGGTTTTCCCCATATGGAAACCCATTAAACCATTAAACCAATAAACCATTAAACCAATAAACCATTAAACCATTGAGCCATTAAACCATTAAACCATTAAACCAATAAACCATTAAACCATTAAACCAATGGTTTTGCCCATATGGAAATCCAGTGAACCATTAAACCAATAAACCATTAAACCATTAAACCAATGCTCTAACAT